TATATATATATGCGTGGTACTCTTTTCATCTTACAAGATTTTGTCCCACTAGGTTTTCCTTGCAAGATTTTTAACGAGGCAACTAAAAGGCGTAGTATTAGATATGTGTACTCTTTTTCCTTCATTAGAATTTTTTCCACTGGATTTTATTTTAGTTAAGGCACATTATCTGTTGAATAGAAATTCAAGGGGGAGTGTTATAAATAGTATTTTATTTATAGTGGATGCCTATGTTTTAGAGAGATTTTAGAGTTTGTTACTTTGTGGTTAAGTCACTTTTTCCCTATATATAGATAGGTTCTATCCTATTGTAATTCATCCCAAATCAATAAGAACTCTCTCTCTACTTTTCTGTGCCATACTCTTCTTTTATTGTTTTATAACATCATAATTATTTCTTTCGTCTTCTTTTTGTAATGACATTTGTATATTCACCATTCTCGTGTGATATGTAATCTTTGTATGATTACACATTTACACTTATGTTAAGATTTGCCATACTCCCTCTGTCTCATATTATGTGTCTCTTTTACACGCACCTTAAACAATATTAGTTAGGAAAGGAATTGGACTATTCTACCCTTATCGATGTCTTAAAATATAATCTATCTTCATTGAATATTTATTCTATTTATATGTTATCTCCATCTTCAAGAACAATTATTACAAGGGAAAAAATAATTAATTTTGTATTGAACTTCTAAAATGATAAATAATTTGAGAAAACTATTTTTAGTAACCACGGCGGTCAATATGAAACAGAGTGAGTACTATTTACAAGGAAATGCAAATCGATTTCAATTTCTTAATCAAATTATTTAGATAATATTTGTAATCCAATATAAAATGCTAAAACAACAAATTTAAATAGTTCTATTGTCATCATAATTGTTAACGGATTCAGTACTGTTGGGTCAAGATACATATTTATCATGTCAATGCCAACATTTTAAATATTTATCGTTACGTAAGACATTACTTCAACAAGACAATAATAACTTTGATCTTTATCGGTACTTCTAATAGAATAGAATTTACATTTCAAATATAACAGAAAAAAAAAAAAACAGAAACAAAAAATGAAAATCAAAATGGAAAATTTGATAATTTGGTGTATATATTTAGTAAAAATTGACATAATAGATTTACTTTCATTTTAAGTGAAAACGAAAATTAAACCCAAATTAAACGTGAACGCCCCTGTAGCTGGTAGATTGTAAACTGATATTCCATCATTTCTTATTCTCCGGCCAATTATCCCAATACTAAATTTTAATATTCATAAAATCCGGTAATTGCCTCCGCCACAGCCAACGGCATGTGCGGCCGCGATCCCATTTAAAGCAATCAAGATCGTAGCCGACACGTTCGTCGTTTAACCTTTTCACGACTATTTAGAACTCCCCTCACCGTAAATAGCCGCTCGTCAATTTTTCTATACTGAAAACCAAATTGTTAGATCAATGGCAACCAATGCTAATTCAAGTCCTAATAATACCGCTACTCACAATGCCATTGTCAAACCTGTGCTGTTACCGGAGATTGGACCCGATGGCATTGCCAGAGAATCACCTGTCATTGCTTACACTGAAAGGGTATTTCTCTGGTTTTACTTGTGCAAAATATGTTCTTAATTTCCGGAATTTTACTCTATGCATTGTTTGATTCTCGTGTTGGTGGTTACAGATAATTGAAGAAGAACAGCTTCAATTGAGAAAGTAAGTTGACTTGTCACTTTTTTCTAATATTTTTGGATCTTATCAAACTTTCAACTCTCCGTTATTTGCTTCTGTCCCAGTTATTTGCGTCAAATTTACTTAAGTATCTGCCTCTAGGTCTATATCTTTGGATACTAGTCAATCAAACAATATACTACTTAATCTCAAATTGATCGGAGTCTGATGATAGTAGTTCTGGTCTATTCATTAGATACTGGTAAATAAAGCATTTTAGCAGAAAATGGTCAGTGAAGCTAAAATGAAGATCACAGTTCAAATGCCAGTGAAGACCAAAATGTTAGATGATTTCTTCCCATCTGTCTCAGCTTTGGTGGGCAGAAAATACCTTTATGTGATGTAATTGCCGAGGATGTGCATAAGTTGGTCTGCCATTATTTAAAAAAGAAAAAGAAAAGAAAAGCTAGTCAATCAATCAATCTAATACCCTTGAACTAGTAGGGATTCATGATATGATTTCTTTGTATACTCTGCTCTTTTTGGACTTATTTCATTCTAATACTGGATCTTCGGATATTAGTACAATGTAAAAAGTTTATTAAGAATGGATGGTTAATGAAGAAAACTATGCTCTCACTTTGGAGGAGTACACTGTAAGAGATTGTGCAGGGAACATAAAACTTGAATTTGATGAAAGGAGTATGGGTAAGTAAACTGGGAGAAAATAGAGAGTGAATTGGCCTGACACCATGTTATCCAAAATTCAAATTGGGACAAAATAAGGTGATTTAGCTTACAAGGATATAGTAATGAATTCTGATGACCAGCATACTTCACAGAGCTCGATTGGGCAATTTTATACACAGTTAGGGAAAAGAGTCTTGGGACAAATTCACAAATAAAACGTCTTTGTGTAGTTTCAAATAGTGAATATGGTGGTTGTTATTTTGACAGAAACTATTTAAACAAATCACTATATTGAGGTTTATCTGCGAAAAAAATAACATGATATGCAGACCAATTATCAAGGAAAAAGTAGACTTTTTCTTTCAGAAAGCTTTAATTTTGGAATATCTAAAAGTTGATTTACCAAATATATAAATTAGAGATCTTTCAAACAAATTGAAGTTCGGAAAAAAGTTTAGTCATTCATTTCTCTATATGAAAACATTATATTGGAGCTATGTTGCGTGGAGTGGACTCTCCAAAATGCTGCCGCACCCGTGTCGGATCCTCCAAAAATACACTACTTTTGGAGGATCCGACACGCACCCGGCGAAATTTTCGGATAGTTCGAGCAACATAGTATTGGAGAGATTTCGTCAAGGGAAATTTATTCCATGCATAGGGTACTCTTTTTCATCTTGTAGATCTTTGTTTCGTAAATTTTTGGATGTATTACCAATGTCGAGTTCATGTCCTAGTTCCTTTTTTTGATAACGGCGATATTTGGGCTAGCCTGCCCGCACCTTGCCTACATGTTCTTAGATTCTTTTATCTGGTGAACACATTGTCAGAGGTGATTGATTTGGAGTTGGATGTTTTAGTGGAGGCCTAGTTCTACAGAAGAAATGGAGGTGTAATATTGACTTGTATTTATGCTGACTCCTGCATCAGACTGCTTTCCACATCAGATGGTCTTTCCGAGTTTTACATGCATAATAATTTCTGGTATTCTGCTATATCTTTCCAGATATATTGATGAAAATTATTCCAAGATCCGTGATGTTGAAAGGGAACTCATGAACCTGAATATGGAGATGAAGCTTACTGCTGGGCCAAAAAAAGCAGGTTTGTGACTTATAATGCTACATCTTTGAGCACCATTACCTTTCGATACATTGTTGATTTAAGTGCTTCCTGTGCACCTTCAGCACTTGAACTCATGAGAAAGAAAATAGAAACATCAACAGAGAGAATCCGTGTTGCTAAGCTGAGGGAAGAGCAAGCACGAAAGGTTTGTCTAACCTCCCTCTCTGTGTTTTTGTCTTAACAGATAGAACAGACTCCAATTCTGACTTTTCTACCATTAAGAGAAGTTAAGCATCTCATTGTCGCAGCACTTGTCTTGCAGTAACATTCCTTTTCGTTTTTCCATATATCTCTTCCTTGGATGTGTGATATCCGTATGTGCCACTAAGAAATTGTTAAAAGATACTGGTACTTCATGGATCTTGCTTTAGATAGATGAGCTTATTTGGTTTAGAAGATTTACACTATTGGAATGTTCACAATGTCTGGTTGAAAAGACAGAGAAGAAAGAAGGGAGGATGTCATCCACCCTATAAAAAGAAAAAGAAAAAGAAAAGGGCAATACAAGAGTGTTACATTTTTTATTTTGACACAAAGGAAAAAAATAGTAAAAGTTGTGATTTTTTGTCTTTGACACCCCTCAATATTCATGAACTGTTAATTAAAAGTGCCTTCTGGATTAGGAAATCTTTGCGAAATCTGAGTTCTTTTTTTACCTTTTCCTGAAATGTCTGGGATGAAGCAAAAATGGTGCTTTGGCATGTCAATTTGTTTTAATTCCGAGAATCGAAGAGAATCGCAGATCAAATCAAAGGAAACCTAGACGAGAAAAGAGAAAGAGAGAGAGAGAGAGGAGAGAAAGTGAAAAGTTGTATTAAAAAGGTCTCAAACCTTCCATACAAACCTCAATAATGGTACTTATATTAACAATGAATAGACAATAACAATAACTGAAAAAAAAATACATCACCCTGATAAAAATAAAAAATTGGGCCAAGTCTGCTACATCCATAAGAAACTCAGGTCAGGCCTTCTTCATGTTGGGCATGGACACCAGCTCTAAGACCCCCTCCTTTAAGCTTGTGGCAGCATCCAACTTGCATAATAATCGGTGGTGAGGATTTGTGAACAAGTGATACTGAGATTACAATGTGGGGATTTTAGTGTGGGGATTAAATAATGACGAGATTATTTAGTGGATATACTCTTATTGGTAGATGTTTAAAAATGGGATATACATGTATAATACAAGATATGTGTTTGGTTTAAACTAGATAAACTTGGATAAACATTTATTTTCAACTTTAACCTTGGGTTTCTTAAAAGACTTTGAAGGAAAAGCTTTGGAGAAGAGCAAATGTGTCATTTTGTTGTTTATCTTGGGATAGTAATCCCGAGATTGATATACCACATAGAGTGTGATATAAAACTAATACCACAATTGTAGTATAAACATTCCTAGGATTGCTAATCCTGAAATTAAAAATCTCACCAAACATGGGATAAAATATTACCACATTTCATCCCTAGATTATAATTCCTTATCCTTGTAACCAAACAACCCCTTAGGGCTCGTTTGGTATGAGGATTAAGGGATAATTAATTCCGGGATTAAATTTGAGATGAGTTTATCCCACGTTTGGTTGGGATAAAATCGCGGTATAACTGATTTCGAGATTAGTTATCCCGGAATTGTAGTGTTATTTTTACCCCTATGGGAGGTTGAGATAACAATCTCGGGATAACTAATTCCGGGATAATTAATCCTAGGATAACTTGTTTCCCAACCAAACGACCCCTTAGTGATCACATCCGCTAGTTGAGGATCATAAGGAACAAAAGGTAGATATATGACCCAAGAATTGTGCATGTCCCCAACAAAGTGACAGTTACCGATATGTTTAATGTGCTCATGAAAACAGGGTTCCTGGGAATGTGCAAAGCAGCTTGACTATCACAAAATTTAGTAACAGACTTAGAAATAGGCAAGCCAAGATCACCCACAATTCTTCAACCAAGCAATTTTGGTAACCATACTCCTTAAGGCTCTATACTCGGTCTCAGCCCGGTGTTATTAAAAGCCATCGTTTCATTGCTGAAAGTGATGAAACGGTGCGAAGCAGAGGGTCATGGCTTAAATGATGTGCTTTAGAGAAGTGTAAACTTAAAACAACATGCTGTTAGTTCTTTAAAATCTCAACTTTGAGAAATTGGACTAATATCAGCATTATTGTATACTGGATGCTGAAATTAGCTTTTTAATTACAAATTGATAATTAGGGTGCTAAATTCATATATATATTTGCTATCTTTAGTATTCGGTAAATTGTACGTTTCACTTTGAAAAAGCATGCTATTCACTTCACGCTTTTCGCTTTAAGATGCGTGGATCTTGTCGCTCTTTTGCACGTATGCTGTTGATAGTGGATTGCTTCTTAGGTTTCAAGAAATAGGGGAAACATACACTGTAATGAAGTACCCGTAACAGACCTCTGGGAGATAGGGCATGCAGCCCGATTAGGATCAAAATATGCTTTTAAAGAAAAATTTGTAAAAACAACAGAATCCCTTGAGCTGGATCTTTCAAGAGATACCTCAGAATATGAGCCACCATAGATTGAAAAATGATTAAGGTGCTGGACTGAGAGAGATACCAGGTCTAGTTTGCTGTAGAAAATTCAGCCTCCTAACATGTATTCCGTACAAAGAAAGGTGAAGATGAGGCTCGCCTTCGTCAACTCACACTGTAATAGAAGAATCCAAAGAAGTCACAACATGGGCCACCCAAGAACAATGAAACTTATAAAGAAGATCCTGGCCATATTTGTCTTAATCCACAACATAGCTTTGAGGAAGTTTAGTTACTTCAAGACCAAGAAAGTGATGAAATATACACCTAGATCCTTGATCTTGAACTGTTCATCCAAGAAGGATTTAAATGTCAGCATTCCATTATCAATCAACAACCAGAAATATGTCAACAACATACACTGCTAATACCACATTAGAAGATTATGACACCTTGGTGAGCAATGAGAATCATTTCTGCTAGAAGAATAGCTCCTGGATAGGATAACTCCGAGAGTTTTGCAATTTAACCCATAGAGAGACCTTTTAAGTATACAAACCAATAGAGTGGCAGAAGGAGGAGAAACAGTGAGACCAGGGCAGATCTTCATATAAACCTTCTCATGAAGGTCTCCCCAAGGAAAACATATTAGCATCCAACTGATAGACATTCCAGCTTTTCTTAACAGCAAGAATGAGCAGGCACTAAATGGCTGTGATGACAACGGGGGAGAAAGTTTTAGTATCTGCTATACCTTTCTGCTGAGAATCACCTCTAATAACCAGTCTAGCCTTATATCACTCGGTGAAGCCATTAGATCTTTGTTTGATTTAGGTGACCACTTGCAAGGAATAGTTCTCTTGCCAGGCGGAAGAAGAACATGCCCCAGGTTTTGCATTCAAATCTTGGAATTCCTTTAGTATTGCTTCTTGCCAAGTAGGATAAGAAGCAGCTTTTTGGTAAAGCTTGGATCTTAGCAGAGAAAACCTTGCAGGTTTTAGCTTGTGGAGCAGGAGGAGTGATGGAAGAACACTCAATAGTCTTGGAGGTAGCTAGGGGGATTATAAGTCTTTGTGGATTTCCTAAGGAAAGGAGAAAAGTGAGGAGGATATGAAAGGAATGAAGGAGTAAATGAAGGAAAGGAATTAGAAAGCTGATGATCCACAAATTTTTAGGATGAGTAGGAAATGTAGAGGCAGGGAAGAGTAATGATAGGTAAAACACATGTTCATGGAATATGATATCTCTGGATTACATAATAGAGTGACTAGACAACCCTAGTGTTATCTCCATAATTCTTCTATCTTCAGACACCATCTGTCACCTTAAAACAAAAACTGTTTTCAGCACTTCCAATGACCACCTAACCTCTCCTGTTCCCGCAGTTCAAATCTTTTTGTGTCAGCTACTATTTCTCCAATATACTGGCTTAGCAAATCACGTTTTAGCTGGTTTAGGTCCATTGCTATTCAGTTCTTGTGCGCCGAAAGTCATTGTCTTGTGAAAAGGTTGGAGGCATCTCTATTTGATGGTGTAAAGAGAATCTTTTGTCTTCTCTTTGACTTTCATACTCCAATGTTTCATTCCTCCTTGAATTAGGAAGCATACTTCATTCTTAGCAGTGTGAACAAGAAGTTGATAGTAACTTTTAGAAGTATGTACTGAGTCATGCCCAAGTAAATCAGATTAAAACTAATGGATGAACTTTACAAGGATCATTCTGTCACTTTTTACGGGGATGCAGTGGCTTCCGGTCGCACCATGTCCTTATATTAGTTTTTATATCAGTCTAGTCTTGTAATGTGGTTTTGCTCCTACAATATGATTTCAACAATCAGAAGAAAAGATGGAAGAAATTAAAAAAAAAAGCACTCTAAAGCGAGACAGCGAACAATAAAATCACTTAGTTGTCCTTCTTAGAAAATTGTAATGGAGTGTCCATTGCTTATGTGGTTTACTTATAATAAATCTGATAATGACTTCTAGGCTTGGGAAGCAGCATCACAGGCTGTTAAAGACGAGGAGGCGATTAAACAAAAGCTTTGTGAGGATTTGAATAGCCTGGTACTTTTTCTTCTGTACTATTACCTTTGCATTGTTAGATTGTGTGACTATTTCTCAAATGAGATTCTCTTTATAGGTTCTGGAAAGTAGTAACAGTCAGCTTGCTAGATTGGAGGAATTGAAAAGACGGCTGGAAGCTATGAATCCAAGTAGAGCATCCACGGCCTCCGCCCCTGTAAGAATTCTTTCATATCTTTGTGTATTTTATGTGTATTTTGGAATTCTATTAGTTTCCAGTATGTTTGTGCATGATTTTTATCCATTTCTTTTTCTAGATGTGGACAACATTTGTTAGCAGTGTGATAACTCTTTTTTATGCTGCTAGAAATTCCTTATCTGTGCATGGAAGAGTGTGGTACACATATTGTTGTTAAGTTTCTGTCTTCAAAGTAATTTATGTCTTTGATCAATTCTAATATCTAGCATAACAAGTTGTGTTATGCAGTAACCAACTGGCTGATTCATTAGAAGACTCCTTATAGAATTATCGTGCAAAACCATAGTATGATGAGAAACGATTGGGACATGGAACACGTTATTTGGTTATCTCAGCTTTAACTTTTACAGTTACAGTAACTTTGGCAGATATGGATAGAATACGTGACATGATTCTGCTGGCAGCACAGAAATAACCCTGTTTCCTCTTAATTTGTGGAGTATTTTGGAATTGTAGTTAGTTCAACGTTTCTTTCCTTCTTTCTCCTCCTGTCCTTTGCTGTCACCTGTAATGAACCCAAATTGTATTGACCAGAAAATAGAGTTACAGATCTTAAACCAAACTCTCAAAGTAACGAACAACAACCAAATGAACAACTAAAAAGAAGAAAAAGGAAAAGAAGAATGGAGGGAGGTTCAAGATCATCCTCTAGAGAAACTAAGGAAATAAAGTAAACCAATTTCTTGCATAGCACTAAGGGGCCGTATGGTTACAAGATTAGGGGGTTATCCCAGTATAAAATTTGGGATTAAATTTGTCCAGTGTTTGGTTGTGGGTATTAGGTAAAACCAGGATGGAATTTATATCAAAATCATGGAATTATCTGTCCCATATAGAAAGCGAGATTATCTATCCTGGTTATAATTCCATGATTATAATCCTGAGATAACTTGGTTTTGAATAAAAATAGATTATTCTTCTTGTATATGTAGGCACATCTTTACATAGTGCACATGCTCCTTCTAGCCAGGTCCCAAATGTAATATGCCAATTTCCCATACATGTCCTCTCATAGGTAAGTTATGTTCACAACATCATCATTCACTTATTAATGTTGACCCTCAGCACTGCAATGCTGGCAGCCATGGAATTCTATCTTTTGGTTTCTAAGACTGCTATATTGCCTCAGCCCATTTTATCCTCGAAAGGACCATGTTTTCCCACCTTTTCAGCCACATATACCATTCATTTGCTTGTAGATTTGCTATCCCACTTGTAAGGCTGACATCAATTATTCTATTCTCTACTAGCATCAGTGTAAGATGGTTTTATTTTAGAACATCAGCAATGTTACTCTTGGTTTTAGTTTAGAGCCTGAACGATATTATTCTCTAACATTCTATGCCCTAACAGATGTGTAAGATTGCTGAGCACCTTGCCGAACTACTTGGGCTTAAAGAATGTCCCGGATTGCCCACTTTGGCCAATCCTCTTATCCATTTTTTTATAAGCGGATTCGCTTATCCATTTCTCAGAAATCACCTTTTTCCCCTTGCTTCTCTATGTTGGGTATTTTGGTCTCACATCTTGTGTTTGCAAAGATGAAGCAGCCTTGAACCATCTCTCTGGGTGAAAAGACAGCTATTTCCATATGAGTGAGCAAAATATATGCCAGACAGAATATTACAACATGTGCCAAAACTAGAAATTGAAAGGATTTTTCTTTGATTAAATTTTTTAGCTGTTACGTACCCTTACTTTATCCAAAAAAAGCTATCACAGATATGAATTGGAGAGTTTCTTGTATTTCTCTTTTTTCTACGTTTGGATCTTATTTGGAACGATATGGATAACATGGCACACTGCAGTTATATAATGCTTGTTTTTGTTTCGTAATTAAGATGACTTTCTACTAAAATGCCCGTGGCCTTTTCCCATATGTGGTCTCAGGATCAAAATCCTGTGGGACCTGTACAAAGCAGTATGACTCAAGATGTTTCCTCAGTTAAGGATACACAAGAACCGTCAAGCGGATCATCTGGAAATACATCGAAAGAAGGAAATGATAGAAGCAGTGGAGCAGAAAATGGACAAAACCAATTGCCTTCTCTTGGTGAAGCAAGAGGTAAGAAGAAAATCAACCTCCAAGGAAGAGGAAAGGGTATTGGCATAGTGCCTAAAGGTAGGGGTTCAACAGCACCTGGTTGGACTGGAGCTGGGTTTGATGTGGATGGTAGAAATTGATAGCAGGTTTTCTCAATGTTTAAGTTCATTGGAATAAGAGACTTGCTGATTTTTAATGAGGTAGATAGTCCACTCCAAGCTATTAAAATTCTTTACTCTCTTCTATTATTCCATGTATGTGAAATATCATTTGTGAAATTCAATGACTTGTGAATACATTGAAATATGTAGTTCCTGAATCTTTCTCGTGTAAATTGATTTTAGTTTTTGTCAACCTAGTTCAGCAGTGTACTTTATATGTCCTCCAAATTGATTCAAGAGAGAGAGAACCCAAGGAGTGTATGTTGTAATGATACGACTTGCTGCTGTTTTAAAGAGGTGGAGGGGAAGGAAGGAGGAATTTATTTCTGAAGAATTATGCACCTTGCGCTTGCTTTGGGATAATCTTGTTTGGTTAGTGTGAGAGAGATGCTGCCTTTTAGTTATAAGAGGTATCACTCACACTTAGGGTGATAATTGTCCTTTCACTTGGATTTGAAATGCGCTTAATTAACTGCTATAACGTCTAAGTCTAGTATTTGAAGTGCTTTAGAAGACCCAGAATTATATAATGTAGCCTGCAGTTATTTTAGGTACATTTATGACGCAGGATATCCTGTGAACGTAATGCAAGGCGAGTCAGAGATTTACATGTCGACATTACTAATTCTATTTTATACTCTCACAGAAAGAATACTTTTGTAGTCAAATATGTAAATTTCTCTGTTGTATGTAATATATAGGAGTTTGAATCCAATAGAGCATATATGCACGTATGAGATCTGCTAAAACATAGAGATATGGTGGTAAAATAGTTCTGTTGTAACTTGTAACACATGATTGTGTTTCTATTACAAAGCATCATCAATTAACCTCTTCCTTTTTATTTTCTTCCTATTCGTTTTAGTTTCTGGATTTATTTAACAGAGTTTTTACTTTAGATTAACTTTTACTCACATATTCAGCAAAAAGATTATGAGACATGCAAGTAATAGAACTGTGTAGGGGTTGAGACTCAAATACGAGTACTTGGTTATGTGTCTCCAAGAAATATTAATAAACATTTGTTGCTGTAGACGGTTTTCAAGATGAATAAGATAACCTTTTAGGCATTTCCATCGTTCATGATTACTATGTATTTATATAGTTTTATGTTGCTGGACATTTCCTCTACCTATATTTCAGACTAACGGCAGAGAAACTGCTTGTAGTGGTGCCAACGAAGGCTGTAGAGGTATCTTATCACCAGGAAAGACTGATAGATTTTTATTAGATGATAGTTAGATAGAGCCTTTAGATGTTCAGTAATGTTTATTAAAGCAATTCCTTTATGTAAGAGGAAAAAGAATATCTGGATGGATTATGGGCTTCTAAAGAATCACTAGACGAGCTTTTGCTCATAACAAAGGAAGTAGTTAGGACTTGTTTTGAGTTGATTTTGACGTGTATGTACTATGTAAGATTATTGTGGATTTCTCGTTTGAACAGATAATTGCGTCATTAGGCTCAATATTCTCGTTGGAGCAGATGATTGCATCGTTAGGCTCAATTACTCGTTAGTAGATACCCTCTCTTTTATGATTTTTCCTGCATCTGTCCTCTTTTTTTTTTTTTTTTTTTTTTTTTTTTTTTTTTTTTAATAAAATGTTTGCCCAGTAATCAAGTATATTCATTTCAATTGTGATTTGTGTTCATTATCGCCTGAGAGTCATTTATCTCGTCAGTTTGGTAGCTGTATATTTGAATTTCTAGTTCAATGTTTCTCAATCGAATATGCACATACTTTAAAAATGATTTTGTGGGAGAATCATTGTTTTCTCAGTCAGTAATCTTGTAACATTGGAAATTGTTGCGCACTCTTACGGAGTATAAAATTGCTGACAACGTGTAGCCTGATTTGGAAACTTATAACGCGAGTAAACTGATGACTCTTGTCTGATTATCTTAAATTATCCATTGCTACCTTTTGGAACCAAAGGAAATGCATTTCAGTTATGACTCTACTGCAATACATAATGATTACGTCTGAGGCAGCTTTGCAGTCTAACAATTTTTTGACTTCCAGTCGGATTTGACAATTAACATTGAAGTTAGGCATGAAGACTGAACAGTAACAAAATAATTGTAATTTGCCAGAGGTCTGCTGTTTCATGTCATTGACTGTACTTCTTGGAGAGTCTTGGTAGGGTCCATTTCATATCATTAGTTTACCTGTTTCAATTTTGATTTTGTTATATGAAGCTTTATGGAACCAGTGGAATTATTTTATGGTGAAGTTTTGAGCTGTTAGTATTAGTTTTAAGGCTTTAAGCTTCATAATATGATTACAGAATCTGAACAATTCGTCTTTAGATCTGGTTCTGAAAGCTTTTTTTCCCGCTAGATTAATGGCAAAATTATGGTCTTTTCATGCGGTTGTCAAGAATGTCTCATTCTCTGTGAATTGTTGGTGTAGTTCTAAAATTTTCTTTTGTTAACTATATATTTGCCCATAAGATATAGAGAATAAATGTATAGAAGACAAGAACAAATATTGGAGACGGTGGGAGTAAACAGATATGACTATTTATTTCAAAAGATAAGTGAGAGTTCTGAAATTGTAAAATATAGTTGGAGGGAGGAATTGAAATAGGGGCTAAATATGAGTGGCTCTGAGTTGCTGACAGATGAAAGGTGATGCTGTTAGGTGCTAACGTTTATCTATACTATATTAAAAGCACGAAGGCCCTTAGTGAAATGTTGATTGAACTTTTTACCCTTCGTTAAAGGACATCACAATAGACAAAATTGTCATTTACTATTTTTCTTCAAATTATTACTTAATTATTTTTATAATATTTTACCTAATAATTACACACACTTTTATTAAAAGAAAGTCCTTATTCCTTTTGATTTCTTTCCAAATATGGAGACTTGAAGAAGTCATTATATAAGCATATCTCCAAGTAAATTTGGAGAATTGAAAACCTATATATATGTAGCCGCATGTATAGTTCTCAGAAAACTTATGGTTGTCCAATTTGTTTTATAGTTTGTTTTGATTTGATTTAGGTTTAGCTTTTTATTTTTGCTTGATTCTTTGTATTATATTTTATTGAATTAATATCAATAATAATTTTGACTTTCAATTTAGAACTTCGCTGAAGTTCTTGTTTATGCTCTCCTTGATTTTATTGGCTTATGTTCTCCTTGATTTTATTGGCAATCTAAAATGTCAGCCGATCAGGTATGCCTTTATGTTCATTTAAAACGACATGTCGGTCGCCTCTTTTACCTTTGAAAAATAGAGTTTACTTAGGACAAAATTGTAATTAAATTATCTAATATTTAAGACTTTAAACTTAAAAAAATTTTGGTTATTAAATCTTCCTTATTTGAAATATATAAAAAATCCTTATATTTAGGACTTTAAAAATCAATGTTGGAATTCACTAAAAGATTTCACGTATACAAATCCTTGCCTGATTTAGATTGTGTAAAGTAATATAGGCTAACATGAAAGTTGAGTATTTTGCCTATAATATAGGCCTTTGAAAGTTTAAAAATTGTAGCTACATGAAATATATTTTTTCCTGGTAACACCATAATCTCACGTAAATAAGAACACTTTGTCCGTCTCTTATCATATGAAGGGTTTCGTTGATGACCTTTCTATACGAAACACTATGATAGTCTTTCTACGAGTAATTTCCTTCATAATATGAATTTTCTCCCAGAAATCAATTACATGTATCTTCTATATCTATATTTGAATATATTTATTTATTTATACTATATTAAAAGCACGAAGGCCCTTAGTGAAATATAGTTCGCCTTTTTTACCCTTTAAAAATAAAGTACACACTAGACAAAATAATCATTATTTAACTATTTTCCTAATATCTATGACTTTAAACTTACCTAAATTTCAATATTATCTTTTTCCTTATTTAAACTATATAATATACCATAAAAGACATGCCAGCATAATCAATGTAAGAAACTAGCGTGTACTAGAACTCCTTCAAGGTTTAGGAGTGTTGTCTTTGTTTTAGAACTATTGCCGCTTAATTCTTTAGAATTTTACTATTTTGGTAAAAAATAAAGAAAATTAAATTGAAAGAGAATAAATATAAAATGTTACTCTTTTAGTGTGAATATTTTAAAGGTTATTCACTATCCTCTTTACCACAAATAACTTAAAATAATGAAAGGGTACATGTGCATTAAAATTTACCAATAAATAATAGATTTAATTTTAAGTCCAAAATTATTGAAATTTCCTATACATCGTAAATCAAACCTATAAACCTAA